ATAATAATAATAACATGCCATTTAGCAGAAGCTTTTATCCAAAGCATACATTTTTTAAAGCTTTTTTTTGTGTGTATGGGTGGTCCCGGGGATCGAACCCACTACCTTGGCGTTGCAAGCGCCGTGCTCTACCAGCTGAGCTACAGAGGACCATGTGTGCTTATTCTCTAAAGCAGTCTTATTAGAGGGAAATGTGAATACAATTTGTCACAATGGCATGCAAGAGTATGTTTTATGAGTGATCAGAGAGAAAAATACTATGTAATACATTTTAAACTCTACAGAAAATGCCTTTCCTGACCTTGATAGATAATAAACACCTCTGTATTATGTATTATCTTTCAATCTTGTCTCTGTCATTGGTTTTGAAAACGTGTTTAATAGGACTTTACAATATACTGCTAACCTTGATAGAAAAGCAACACATAGAGGCCTATAACTTGTAAATAATGTTCTCCATTATTGTTCTGAAAGCTTGATTACGCTGTGTACTGTTAGCCTTTTAGCCTTGTTGCCTCTTGTAATACATTTTTAACTCTACAAAAAGTGCCTTTGCTGACCTTGATTGATAATCATGACAATATAGCTTGTAAATAATCTTGTCTCTGTTATTATTCTTTCAAACTAGGTAACAAGGCCTATGCCTTTACTGTATATTGCAAACCTTGATAGACATATCGGCCTACAACTTGTGAATAATTTTCTCTGTTGCTGTTCAGAAAGTGTGATTTTACTGTGTCCTAATAGCCTGGTTAATATTCATTACATTTAACTTCTAAATAAATTAGATTTCGTTTTGATAAAAAAGGTTGGCTTTTTTGTTTCTTTTTTTTATGACTGTGTATTGATTTCAGGACCATGGATAGTACCAGGTCATTTAAAGCTTTGTTGCTGCATATGTGCACAACAGTCCCCTTCCAAATCTACTTTGGTTAGTAGAGACCCTAATGAGAATTTCACACCCCAGTTTATGCGGCCGGTAGAAGAGTTCTCTCAACAAGCCGATATGTATCCCATGTACAGTCTATTACGGTGTATTGCATTGGGAGCTATGGAGGGGGTGGAGAATTAAGTGCTGCTGGGTATGTATGACACAGTCCCCCTTCAAAACGAACCATATTTGGTTAGTAGAGACCCTATTGAGTATTTTCCACCCCTTTAGCTGAGACAGGTAGAAAAGTTCTCTCTACAGCCCAATATTCTCAACATACCAGTGTAAACATGGTATTTTGTTCATTATTGATGTAAAAAAATATTATATATTTGTTTTCATAAATAATGTATTGTATTTTTGGGGTTGGGGTATATAAACTACAGAGTCAGAGCATTTATCCCAAGACCATTGTAAAGCTTTGGTCATGTTTCAGGTGTTTGCAGGAGAGAGAAGCCGAGATGTCCAAGTTGTGGAAAACATCATATCATCTGTTTTAAAAGTGAGGAAACTGTGACATGTAGCAATTGTGGTGGGAACCATGAAGCTACGTCTTTCGATTGCCCGACAAGGGTAAAAGAGAATGAGGTGGCCAAAGTCAGGGCTGTCCAGAGCATTTCATATGCAGCAGCTGTTAAAAGGGTTGAGGGTTTGAATGGTGCTCTTGAAGAGTCCATGGTGGTGGATAGGCCTTTAGTGTTGCAGGGGTTGCCTTTCACCAGCAGGACCCTGACATTGTAAAGGTTAAGAAGGTGGCCTTTATAGCTATGGTGATTAATGGCACTGCCAAGGTGGAGAGAAAGTCCAGGAAGATAGATATCATTGTGGATGCGGCGGAGCGGTTCCTGGGATTGAAAGATTTCTCGGCAGAGGAGTTACATGGAATAGTGTCACAAGCCGTACCACCCTCTCAGGCCCTAGAGCCTGAGAAGAGAGATATGGAGATTTTAAAGAAGGAAGAAGTGGGAGTTTTGTTTTATTTTTGTCAATGTAGTATTTTTATTTGGGTGGATTAAGTTAGTTTCCCTATCACATATGGATTTTCTTTTTACCTTGTTTTGGTTTTTCAACCCGTCCAGTTGGTGGCGGCAATACACCTTTTGGGGTTGTAGTCCACCATAAAACACACAGAAGAAGACAACGTTTGTTTACGGAAGTAGCGAGCTTGGAAATGCTAGCTATCAGATTGTTAGCATAATTTACTTAAATAAAAAATCGTTTGCTGAATCATGATAGCATCATGATGGTAAAGATTTCATAGAAATCAACAGGCGCGGTCTAATAGAACAAGATAAACCCAACTAAGCTAAGAGATGTGCTAGCGACGTTTTCTAGCTAGCGTAGCTTGTTTATCATTCAACCGTCTGTTAGCGTGGTACAGCTAACGTTAGCTTGATAACTAACTGATTGGATTTAGGTCTCCCGAGGTGGCGAATTGAAGCCATAGGATAACCGACACGATGGGGGCCGAGCAAAGTGGTGATTCTGAGCACAAGCACTCTGAGTACAGCACCTCAGGTAAGGGAGGACACGCAGGTTGTCTGTCTAGTAGGTGACGCGCAAAGTGCAACGCTCCTTGACCTCTTTTACACATAGGATACTGAAAAAATGGTGATTGTGTTTTGTAGTTTACATCCTGCAGTTTCATATTAGCAGGATGGCCTATGATGTGTCCCAAATGACACGCTATTCGCTATATAGACCATTACTTTTAACCAGGGCCCATAGTGCTAGGTCATTGTTTAGAAGCCTCTCTAGTTAGCTATCTTTCAACATAAAACAATTACAAAGGAGACAAGGGAGTTGATCGTGGACTACAGGAAACGAAGGGTCGAGCACGCCTTAATTCACATCGACGGGACTGTAGTGGAGAGGGTCGAGAGCTTCAAGTTTCTCTATCTACATCACTAAGGACCTATCATGATCCAAACACACCAACACAGTCACGAAGAGGGCATGACAATGCCTCTTCCCCCTCAGGAGGCTGAAAAGATTTGGCATGGCCCCTCAGATCCTCAAAAAGTTATACAGCTGCACCATTGACTGGCTGCAACACCGCTTGGTATGGCAACTGCTTGGCATCCGACTGCAAAGCGCTACAGAGGGTAGTGCGTATGGCCCAGTGCCAAGCTCCCTGCCATCCAGGACCTCTATACCAGGCGGTGTCAGAGGAAGGCCCTAAAAATTGTCAAAGACTCCAGCCACCCAAGTCATAGAATGTTCTCTCTGCTACCGCACAGCAAGTGGTCCTGGAGCGCCAAATCTTAGGGCCCATGCCAAATCTTTTCAGCCTCCTGAGTGGGAAGAGGGCGTTGTCGTGCCCTCTTCACGACTGTGTTGGTGTGTTTGACCGGAGCGCCAAGTCTGGCACCAAAAGGCTCCTGAACAGTTTCTACCCCCAAGCCATAACACTACTGAACAGTTAGTCACATGGCTAGCCAGACTATTTGCATTGACCCCCTATTGCACTGGCTCTATATACACTCACTGGACTCTACCCACACACTCACACATACTACACTGACACTCCAACAAACACACACACATATGCATATTGACGCCACACAAACTCACACTGTAGACACACTTCCACACTCTTTTACACTCTTCACATACGCTTCTCCTACTCTGTTTTATTATCTATCCTTATTGCCTAGTCACCTTTACCCCTAGCTACATGTACATTTTACCTCAACTACCTCGTACCCCTGCACATTGACTCGGTACCGGTACTCCTTGTATATAGCCTTGTTATTTTTGTAAAATATGTTTTTTGTGTAATTTTATTTTGGATTTGAGACAATACACAAATATACATATAGACTGAGTGTATAAAACATTAGGAACACCTTCCTAATATTGAGTTGCACCACCTTTTGCCCTCCGAACAGCCTAAATTAGTCTGGGCATGGACTCTACAAGGTGTCAAAGCGTTCCACAGGGTTCCTGGCCCATGTTGACTCCAATGCTTCCCACATGCTGGATGTCCTTTGGGTGGTGGACCATTCTTGATACACGCGGGAAACTATTGAGCGTGAAAAACCCAGCAGTGTTGCAGTTCTTGACACACTCAAACCGGTGCGCCTGGCACCTGCTACAATACCCCGTTCAAAGGCACATAAATACTTTGTCTTGCCTGTTCACCCTCTGAATGGCACACATACACAATCCATGTCTCAAGGCTTAAAAATCCTTCTTTAACCTGTCTCCTCCCCTTCATCTACACGGATTGAAGTGGATTTAACAGGTGAAATCAATAAGGGATCATAGCTTTCAACTGGTCAGTCTGTCAAGGAAAGAGCAAGTGTTCCTAATGTTTTGTACACTCCGTGTACAAAGACAATAGACAACTTAACATTCCACAAACAGATCCACTAAATAGACATGACGTTGACTAGGATTTAATGCCCAACCTTCAACATAAAGAAAAAAGACAAATAAAGACAAAACATCAACTCGGACATACATAAATGTCAACAAACATTAATGACATCACACTTGCTCAGACCCACATGCTCACACCGTATTCATACCCATCCCGTCCGTCTCAGAATAACATTCCTTTCCATTTCTCATCTTTTGGATATCTCTAGTGCTTGTAACACTTTATGCCATATGGCTTCAAATTGCACTATTTTGTTTCTCTCTGTAGCCAACATTGTTTCAATATTTAAATAATTTATTTGATTAATCCACTGTCTTAATGATGGAGGATCATTTGATTTCAAGTTTTTAATTAAAGGTTTTTTCAGAATGATTGATGAGATAAGTATGGTCCAACCCATTGCATATCTTACCGCACCCTCATATGCAATGTCTTGAAATACAGTATGCAGATACAGATTAAAAGTAAAGTTACATTGTAAAACTTCTGACAGCCAACGTTCTAACTCTAACTGTTTGTACTTTTTAACTCATTGTTGGGAAAGGGCTCGTAAGTAAGCATTTCACTGTAAAGTCTACACTTGTTGTATTTGGCGCATGTGACAAATACATTTTATTTGTTTTTGTTTTGTTTTTATTTGAATTACTTATAGTTGGGAACATTCTTTCAATTGCTTTGTTGTTGCAGTGATGCCCTCACCGGCAAAGCAGAAGGCTAAAATGGATGACATTGTGGTGGTGGCCCAGGGGACACAGTCATTGCGCAACATCCACAATGACCCTGATGTCATCAAGCTTCAGGAAATCCCCACTTTTCAGCCATTGTTGAAAGGTAAGGTCAACGGCCTCTAACCTGGATCTAGACCTCTTCTCTGCCTCTACAGTATTATAGCGATTCGGAGGAGAAAGCAGACACAAGTTTGTGCTTCTCAACGCCAGGGTGAATACAGTACATAATAGTCCAGGAAAATCATAATGTGCCATATGACAATGTGTAAAATTATGAATAGGCCAAGACATTCCATTATGACCATGAAGTCTACAGAAAGACTGATAATGTCCAGTGTTTTGAGGGTCAGTCTGTCCATGTCTCTAGGTGTGCTGAGTGGCCAGACATCCCCCAGCAGTGTGTGTCTGGAGCGGCTGGACTCTGCCCAGGTGCTGCAGCTCTGCATCCGCTACCAGGACCACCTACACCAGTGTTCTGAGGCCGTGGCCTTCGACCAGAACGCCCTGGTCAAGAGGATCAAAGAGGTAACTAATGGCGTTATTAACTGTCTGCATCCCTATAGATAGACGAAAGTGGCCTCCTCGTCTCCTTTCCTTCATCTGCACTGAACTCACAGATGAAGGAAAGGAGGAGAGGAAGCCACTTTAGGCTATTGAGATACAGTTGAAGTCGGAAGTTTACATACACCTTAGCCAAATACATTTAAACTCAGTTTTTCACAATTCCTGACATTTAATCCTAGTAAAAATTCCCTGTTTTAGGTCAGTTAGGATCACAACTTTATTTTAAGAATGTGAAATGTCAGAATAATAGTAGAGAGAATGATTTATGTCATCTTTTATTTATTTCATCACATACCCAGTGGGTCAGAAGTTTACATACACTCAATTAGTATTTGTAAATTGTGTAACTTGGGTCAAGTTTCCCACAATAAGTTGGGTGAATTTTGGCCCATTCCTCCTGACAGAGCTGGTGTAACTGAGTCAGGTTTGTAGGCCTCCTTGCTCGCACATGCTTTTTCAGTCCTGCCCACACATTTTCTATAGGATTAAAATCAGGGCTTTGTGATGGCCACTCCAATACCTTGACTTTGTTGTCCTTAAGCCATTTTGCCACAACTTTGGAAGTATGCTTGGGGTCATTGTCCATTTGGAAGACCCATTTGCGACCAAGCTTTAACTTCCTGACTGATGTCTTGAGATGTTGCTTCAATATATCCACATAATTCTCCTTCCTCATGATGCTATCTATTTTGTGAAGTGCACCAGTCCCTCCTGCAGCAAAGCACCCCGACACCATGATGCTGTCACCCCCGTGCTTCACGGTTGGGATGGTGTTCTTCGGCTTGCAAGCACCCCCTTTTTCCTCCAAACATAACGATGGTCATTATGGCCAAACAGTTCTATTTTTGTTTCCTTCGGCTTGCAAGCACCCCCTTTTTCCTCCAAACATAACGATGGTCATTATGGCCAAACAGTTCTATTTTTGTTTCATCAGACCAGAGGACATTTCTCCAAAAAGTACGATATTTGTCCCCATGTGCAGTTGCAAACCATAGTCTGGCTTATTTATGGTGGTTTTGGAGCAGTGGCTTCTTCCTTGCTGAGCGGGCGTTTGGAAATTGCTCCCAAGGATGAACCAGACTTGTGGAGGTCTACCATTTTTTTTCTGAGGTCTTGGCTGATTTATTTTGATTTTCCCATGATGTCAAGCAAAGAGGCACTGAGTTTGAAGGTAGGTCTTGAAATACATCCACAGGTACACCTCCAATTGACTCAAATTATGTCAATTAGCCTATCAGAGGCTTCTAAAGCCATGCTGTTTAAAGGCACAGTCAACTTAGTGTATGTAAACTTCTGACCCACTGCAATTGTGATACAGTGAATTATAAGTGAAATAATCTGTCTGTAAACAATTGTTGGAAAAATTACTTGTCATGCACAAAGTAGATGTCCTAACCGACTTGCCAAAACGATAGTTTGTTAACAAGAAATGTGTGGAGTGGTTGAAAAACAAGTTTTAATGACTCCAACCTAAGTGTATGTAAACTTCCGACTTCAACTGTACATGCCATATCACCAGAACGCCTGTGTCACTTGTGTGCTCTATGTGTGCCACAGCCAGAAAGGCATATTCAATCATTCAGAAAGGCATATTCTTTCCTCACTCTTCCTCCCAGATGGACCTATCGGTGGAGACTTTGTTCAGCATCATGCAGGAGCGTCAGAAGCGCTACGCCAAGTACGCTGAGCAGATCCAGAAGGTGAACGAGATGTCCATGATCCTGCGGCGTATCCAGATGGGCATCGACCAGACCACCCCTCTGATGGAGAGGCTCAACAACCTGCTGCCGGAGAGCGAACGCCTGGAGCCCTTCAGCATGAGGCCGGAGGGGGACGCTGCAGCCATGTAGTAGTAGTAGCATTGCCTGGGTACGCTGATACACTCACTGTCATGGACCTCTAATCTAGCCACCCATGCCTCTGCCCATCACCACACCAGAGAGACTTTTAAAAGCTCTTTATTGAACCATTCGTGTTGAACAGAAGAGACAGAGAGAGAGATGAAAAGAGAGGGAGGGAGCAAAAGAAAGAGAGAACGCTGCCCCACCGGCTCCTCAAGCCATCCTGAGCCCTTCACGTCCACAACTCACCATCCCACCAGGCCTAGACTTTTAGCTCTTCACCATAAGCCGTACTCACTTCCCACCCCATCCAGCAGAAGCAGTGGGGTACAGGGACAGCTGCACCCCACACTGGGGTTTACATGTCAGTGAGTGTCAACCACCTTCGGTCAAGGAATAGGAAGACGGCAAAACAAGAGTTTACATGATGTTGCACTGAAGGGAACCTTCTTGGATTACTGGTAGTTTGAAGACACCACAAGGAGTGTGGCGACAAAATGACTTCCAAAAATGACTTAATCTCCAGAAGTGATATGGGTCATAGATGAGCTCAGAAGACTCCCATAAAAGAAGTTAACTGTTGGACCTTGAACTGTCTGTATTTTTGTTTGGGGGGGGGGAAATGTTATTGTCCAAAATTATTTTGCTTATTTTTCAGCTCTGTCAACTGACCTATATATTCTGTGTTGCACAGTGCAGTATGTGAGAAACCTAGTAGTCTCTAGGCCTACACATAGCTACAGCTTTGTGGAAGATCATTTATGGATATCAATTCAAACCATCAATAGTAATCTTCGTGAATTCTGTGAAAGTTATGAGTGTTAGATGCTTGAATATGTTGGTTTCTCTGTGAGTATTTCAAATGGCTTACATAACAACGAAGACGTTTATTTTGGAAAGAAATAAACAAATTAGGAATTTGAATCGTTTGAATTTCTTGCAAAATGTATAAAGGTGCTTTTACTATTCTGTTTACTAAAGAATCAGATACTGACCCTCTCAATTGGATATGATGATTGGTTATAGGATATTGCCATTTGGCGTTATAACATAGTCAGGTCCAAATTTATTGGCACCCTTGATAAAGATGAGCAAACTATACAATAAATAATAGAGACCTGCCACCCAGACAGCTGATGAAACGGAGGAGTTTTCTGTCTGTAATAAAGCCCTTTTGTGGGGAAAAACCTTCTGGGTCTGGCATCCCCAGTGGGTGGGCATATGCCCTCCCAGGCCCAACCATGTGAAATCCATAGCTAAGGGCCTAATTAATTTATTTCAATTCACTGATTTCCTTAAATGAACTGTAACTCAGTATATTTTTGTTCAGTATATTTCTATGATGAAACATACCGATATGTAGCTATACCCAGGGGCGTCATTTGGGTTCTTGCATTGGAATTATATTGAATTCTGCAGTAACCGAGTATTCCAGCCACTTCCTATGAACCAGTTGCTATTAAATGAATGTTTTTGGTTAGAAAACCTGCGGCTATGGTAGGATTCCAGGCTAACCTGGGCTGGCTCCTCGTCAGGAATAGTCGGAGGTGGAGGGGGCTGTGGAGCCACTATCCTGGCGGCGCTTGTGGAAGGGTGGGTAGGCTCTGCACTCGGAGCCCGTCAGCATCATCGCTGCTGGGCTTGGCCGCGGCCATCGGTGGTTCGATGCTGCTGCTCATCGCTCTCCTCCTCCTTTTGGCTTTGTTTGGGTACTTTGGCGAAGCCAATTTCTAATATCCATCGTGGCAGTGGCAGATTAGGTGGTTCGAGCTAGCAAAATAGGCTAAGGCTAATAACACTAACACGTTTTACAGCTAGCTAAGTGGTGGGGCGTGAGACAGAGTTGAGTGAAGCAGCTTCAACAGTAAACTTGATCCCGCCATTATAAATTGTTAAGTTGCGTCAATTCAAATCTGGTATTGGAACAAAAAGAGGTCAATACACGTCTTCTAAAATAGACTAGTATTTTAATTAATGCAAAACACTTCAATGGTAAATATGATGTTCGTATATACGGGTCCACTGAAATACCACGCAGGGCAGACAGAGAACTGGTCCATTGTTATAAGTTCTTCTTTAAATACTCTGACAGAGATAGTTCCCGCTCCCTGCTGGCCTATCAGAGTAGAGACTGAGCGTGGTTTAGACTTACTCAGCCTATCGTTGGCGCACAGGCTGGTCCCAGCCCCTTGGCACTTCACTGTTGCCAGGTGTTTAGTTGTTTTGCAACTTGTCCCGAGTCAGCAACCTCAGACATCTTTGTAGCAGAACACATGTCCTTGAGCGTTCTAACAAAGAGGCAGTGTTTGTGTATGGGAGACACAAGTCTTATCTCATCCTACTCCCTAACAGTTCCCCACATTAATCACAGCTTTTTATGTTAACCAATTTATATCAGTACAGTACAAACCTATTATGTTTAATCATTAATGTATTCTTTCTAAGCTAACAGCACATCTAAAATATAAGAGAATAATTTCCCACAAAATCAAAATCAAATATTACAGGCGGAGGCATATCACGTTATTCACTTAGCCTACCACAGATGAGAAGTGTTTTTTTCAGCAGGAAAGTACCTCATACCGACTGCAAAATATGGTGGTGGAGCTTTGATGTTATGGGGCTATTGTGCATCCACTGGTCTTGTTATTTATTTTACCTTTATTTAACTAGGCAAGTCAGTTATGAACAAATTCTTATTTACAATGACGGCCTACACCGGCCAAACCCGGACGACGGTGAGCCAATTGTGTGCCGCCCTATGGGACTCCCAATCACGGAAGGTTGTGATACAGCCTGGAATCGAACCAGGGGGTCTGTAGTGACGCCTCAAGCACTGTGATGCAGTGCCTTAGACCGCTGCGCCACTCGGGAGCCCAGTGCAGTCAAAAACTTGATTTAATGATAATCCCCTTTTAGTGTAAGAGCTGTTTGAAAAGACTGCCTGAAATGTCAGCCTCTTTTAGTGGAAAGGAGTTTTGGCCTGCCTGGTGACATCACCAGGCGGTAAATTATATAGTAGACCAATAAGAAAGCAAGTTCCAAGGCTCTATGACAATAACAGCTAGTTTTAATTGTTCTGCTCCCTCCCCTCCCAGACAGTCCTAGCAAAATTCTTGCTTGAGAAATTGCTCTTTGCTAAGAAGCTATTTTTGTTTCTTTTTGACCATTTTAATTGAAAACAATCACAGTAAGGTACTTAATTGATACCCATAAATGATTTGATATGGAGATAAAAACAGCTGCATTGGACCTTTAAGGTCAATAGCATCATGAACTTTACCAAGTACCCGGACATGTTTGCCAAGACCTGGTTGCCTCTGCCAGGAGGCTGAAACTTGGCTGCAAATAGATCTTCCAGCAAGACAATAACCCTAAGCACACATCAAAATCCACAAAGAAATGGTTAATTGACCACAAAAAAAAAATTATGCAATGGCCATCTCAGTCACCGGACTTGAACCGCTTTGAAAACCTGTGGTTTGAATTGAAGAGGGCAGCATAATTTAGTCCATAAGCGAAGACGAAAAATATCAAGGATCTAGAAATATTCTGTTTGGAGGAATGGGCTAAAATCCCTCCCAATGTGTTTTCCAATCTCATAAAACATTTTAGAAAAAGGCTAAATGTCGTTATCCTCGCAAGGGGAGGGTGCAGGAGTATTGAAAACAGGGGTGCCAATAATTTATATTATTATTACTTGTTAAAGGGGCAATCAGCAGTTGCTAGATCCATTTTTGGACTTATAAATTAATCATATGTACCCATTGATTTTTATGTACCCACTGGGGAGCCCACAGTGGTGGGGAGAATGTTTTGTCATTGTTTCAACTGCTGAGCGCCGCTTTAAACAAAATCTCTTTCTCTGAGCCATTGTATTAGTATAAAATAATAATATATTATTTATATATATATGCATACAATATAGTGCAGAATTTGTATGATTTATTTTAAACAGTATTTTTTGCTCATCTTTATCAAGGGTGCCAATAATTTTAGGTTTCACTTATTCAGTGAGGATGTGGTTGTTGACTTTTAATCTGAGCAGAAATACTTAATTAGCATTGTGGAGCAAAGTTCTCTCCCTCGCCTCTGTAACTTTCAATGTATGCTCCTTTGAATTCTAATGTTGGGACTCTTTTGAAATATGATCGCCTTTCACATGTAAATGACAAGGACGGAATCCCAAAAATTGCTTAGGGGGAATTGTTTGAACATAGAAACTGGAATGGAAATGTGAGTCAGTCTGCACACAGACAGAGAGCTGATGTTAATTCTTGTGCAGAGCTCCTTTGTGGATAGAGGGTTCTATTCTACCTACCTTTGCGCTGTGAAATGAAGAATAGACCTAGCCTGCTGATCCTCATAGCCTGGATATTAATACAGCAAGATGATCCAATACAATTTGCCATAAGGAAATTCATATCTGAGAAATCCAATTTCCCCACATAGGCCTGTTGCTCATTTGAATATAAATCAAAGGGACAGTTTTTTATACTTTTCTTCTTTTTTGTTTCTGTATTCCGAATCGATCCATAGCTAGGAGTATGAGTGGAAGAAGATTCTCATCTGTTGAAATGCCCTGCTATAAAAGTACAGAACCCTGATTCTCTCTTTCTCTGAGGCTGGACTAGGTGCATACTAATGAGCAGAGCTATTAGCTACCTGAATACTCTCTGCTGTTGTAGAGAACTGTTCTAAGTCAACTACCGTGTGGTTATATGATTATTATTTCAAACTGGATAAGTATTCAATGTTTCTCTGAACAGGCTGTACCTTCATGTTCTGTATTATTTATTGGGTTGTAATTAATTTCCAGAAGAGGAATGGAACATCAGACAACTGTGCCCGTAATAGGCCTATCGACTGTTAGGGCTTCAGTTGGAGAATAAGTCAGTGCTTCCTCTTATTTGACACACAGTCACAACAATGGCTTGATAGACCTTCTGAGTAGCAGCCAATGCAGAAGTTATTATCCTTGTGTAAACGTTGAAATTGGTCTCAGCAATATGACGTCATCAAATAAAACAGGGTGACTTTGTAGTGTATTATAGAAATTCCCATCAACTGGATGAGTCACCATTTAGTTTGATGGAAATTATCCAATCATTATGTAGGTTGGTGGAAATCCCCATCGACTGATGGTGAGGGGTCTCCATTATCAATAGATGTGGTAAGCAGTTGTGTGGTTGTTGTCAGTAGTTGTGTGGTTGTGGTCACTAGATGTGGTCAGAAGTTGTGGTTGTGGTCAGTTGTTTTGATCAGTAGTTGTGGTCAGTGGTTGTGGTCTGTAGTTGTGTGGTTCAGTTGTTGTGTGGTTGTGGACAGTAATTATGGTCACTCACCCTCGTCATAATTTTTGCCCTCTGTATCCATAGCAATTGCTTTGTTTGGGCTGCTCAATGATGACACAGAGAGCTGTTAGTAGATGTCAGCTAGCCACTTTTGTCACTCTAAACTCTGACAAACAGCTGTAACTTTTTATTGGTAGAAGCTATTCCTAATCCGCTCTATTCAATCAGAGGGGTACAGCCCACCCTTCTCTTTAGAGACAGGCAAATTAGCCAGTTAAGTTATTTAGAGTACGGAGCATGATCCTGGAAAAGGAGGACGAAGCTAGTAAGCATTAGAAATCTTCTCTTTCTCATTCCATGTCGTCCAGACCGGGAAGGTATTCTTAATCTTAGCGCTAGCTGTTCGGTCTGAAACAGATTGACAAATCATGGGAATTTGAAGAGCTATGAAGACATTAATTCCCGTGAGTCAAGCATTGCTAGGCAACAGTAGCCTTGGCAACACTGCTCCCTTTTGGCTAAAGCAAGTGTGAGAAACATGCTAACATACAATTAGTTTGTGCTTTAATATGAACTATTTGCGAGATTCATGATAGTGTTGTTAGACAAAGCAAGGAAAGTGAACTTCAAAATGTGATGTAGTTTAATTGGAATTTGCAGCTGTTGTTTGTAAATAATTAATTTGCTAGCTTCTGACATGATTTACTGCAGCTAGAAAGAGAGGAGTTGAATGGTTACTAAAACAGCTCTATCTACAGATT